GGTGGCAGAAGGAGGACAGAACAGGACCAACTGGCACAAGACAAGCGAGCGGAAATCAACAGAGGAGGGAAGCAGACAAAGAAAGGAAGTAAAATAACAAGAGACACACAAGGATGGAGAATTACAAAATAAAACAGGAAATAGGCGTAACAACAATTAAGACCATGACTTATCCTAAAATTTTCGAAGGCAGGGGACACCCTGGACAGGTCACCAGTCTATCACAGGGCTACACTTAGAGACAGACAACTCCTTTAACACTTGTACAAGTTAGCGATTTTTAATTGAATGTCCTTTTAATGTGTTTTCAATCAAACAAATAAATTAAACTCAAAGTTGAACCTACAAGTCTGCCTCCAGTCACTGATGTTTGACTTCTCCAGACGATACGGAAGAGACAAACAAAACTGTAAGATTAATATCCACCTTTCTGCAGAGAAGAGCTCAACACGTAGTCAGGGAGAGGAGCATTCCTAACACGGATGGAGGCTTATATGAGGTTCACAAATCTGTTCCTCTGTCACAGATGACCGCTCAGAGGTGGATGGGTCAGTGGTTTCTATGGTTTCAGCAACCTCCTCCTCCAGCCGACTGTTGCCTCCAAAGGAGCGTCTGAGAGAAAAGGCTTTCCAATACTGCCAACGCCTCATCGAACAGAGCGATCGCAGTGAGTGTGTGCGCACGTTACACTGCAATTATGTGAGAGAGAAATGAGCCACGCTGTAGAGTTGCTTGCATAACAGGGATATGCATCTCAGGAATCTGTATGTTGTCGTTTACTCTGTGTAAGTGTGTGCTCTGATGTGTCTTCTTCTTTTTTCCTTTAGAGGCACAAAAGAAGACGGACACAGAACTGCAAAAAGCGGTGAGCTTGTGTATTATTGTAAAACACTGTACGTTTATACACTGGTTCAGTTTCTGGAACAAAAAAGCCTAAAAAGTAAGAATACTGCATGTCTAAGTCTTATACATTTTATGGGTTTAAATCTGTTTCAAACACTTGGCACTGACTAAGGATTAATTTTAATTTTGAGTCATTACCAAAGTTACTGCTGTTGTTCCACATGTGTCAGTGGCTCCTGCTGCTGTTTGATGCTGCAGGTATTTAATAAACTTAGAGGAAAGATTCCTACAAACAGCTGGAAACAACAAACAAAACCTCTGCTCCGTTTAACGTTTTAAGTAAAACCCAGTTTACATTCATTACTGATAATTCATTATTGTCTCAACTATAGTTCTATTTTTATGGTCATTTTAGTTTGTAAAAGATGTGAAATTGTGGAAAAAAGTGAATGAGAAAGGTGTGTCCTTTGCTCTCTGTGATGGTTATGAACTAGTGTTGGTGCTGAAATATGGAAGAAGTCTGTTGAGATCTTGTCCGGCCTATTTGTTAATGTGGTTCAGACTTATGTTATTTTAAAAGTGAGACATTACTGTGTCTATCCTGACCTGACAGAAAAGTGAGCAGCAGGGTGCTCATTCAGACATGAAGCAGACTTGTGCTGTCAGATTAGTGGGAAGGAGCAAACGTCTGAAAGTGGCGTCTACATCAGTGCTGGGAGCCACTGTTTCCCAGCAGAACGTCACATTGTGACAACATAATTAAAGTTATTAACTTCACCTGTCGGTGGTTTTAATGTTGGAGCTGATACAACACTGTAAACCAGCTTTTATGCTCATTTCCTCATCGTGCTTGTCTTGTTTCTTCTCTTAGTGTCTGGTGGAGGCAGTGTGCATCCTAGACTGTGTGTGTGTTGAAGACGCCTCGCTGGTCTTCAGAACATTTCCCTGCATTAAAGCCCTCTTTGGTCGCCTCAGCCCAGATCTGTCATTTGCCAGAGTCCTGCTGCCCATAGCACAGTTTTACCTCAACCACGGTATGCATCCTCATCATATGTGCTCATAACTGCTGTATAGTTTCACTACAACATAAGAACGGAGAGCAAGGTCTCTTTCCAATACTGTTACTTGTAAATTGTTGTTAGTCTGCATACATAAGCATAAAAAGCCTGAATGTGCACTTGAATCTGTGCAGGTGAGATGGCGGCGTTGGACTGTGAGAGTGTGTGGAAGCTGGTGCTGGGCCAGTTTCCTGCTGTGCTCTTTAACGACCCTTTCCTGGCACACGAGCTTCTACGTTTTTTGCGGCTAAACCTCGAGAAACTTCAACTTCGAGTTCCGCAGTACACACACTTCTTCCCAAACCTGTTGAAGGTGAGGAAACCTGTGCAAACTATTGACTGTGCATCTTATATCTCACACAAGTGCTGTAGACTATTGTGGGAAACGCTGTGTTCTGCTCACACAATCTCTCTGTCTGTGTAGTTTTTAGCCTGGGACAGTCCAGCAGTCGTGGATGACTTTGTGGATCTGCTGCCCTCTCTGGTTACACCTGCGACTGCAGTGGAGCTGCTCCACACTCTACTGGATTTGCCGTGTCTCTCCGCTACGCTGGTCTTGCAGCTAAGGTTCATGAACACACAGGAGCAAAACAGCCTACCGCTGCATTCACAGTTTATATCTCCGCCTCACTGAGTCTCTGTGTATGTTGCAGATCTACGTGTTTGCCCATCTCTGAGCCCGGCGGCCGCGGCCTCCTGTCACTAGATGCATTTCGAAACCCCTCTTTTCGAGGGCTTTTCCTCTTCATGCTTCGAGCGGAGGCAGGATCAGGTACTGACAGTCACAGAAGTAAAGGAAAATAATGTGACGTTTTGAGAAATCCTCCTTTTCCCAGACATAAGCCTCATACTCAGAGATGCACAGATATGAGGGAGGTGTCAGTCTTGTCAACTACCAGCAAGAAAATGAAACATTTCCTCAAATGTTAAAATGCCTTTTAAGATTGTGGTTTAATCTGCTGGTGATATCTTTTCAGAAGTTTTCATTCATGCCAATAAATGAAATTAGTTTGATGGAGCAATAACATAGGAGTGTGTATCTCCTCCTTTTGCATGGAGGAATGGGAATTGTTCACATAAAGCAACAGTAATAATTTTTTCAAGAAATCTAGCCTATGGTTGTTAAAACTGTCATTTTCGCAGACTGTTTTGTACCTTTTAAACCTGGGCTGGGTCAAGCAGCTTTTATTCTGGAAACATAGTGGATGGAACCACCCTAATTTTGCATCTTCCTCTTCAGGTGACACCATTGACCGACTGAGCACGCTCCACGATCTGCTAACTGAGGCTGCCGACTGGCCCAGAGTTGTTCAGTGTGCCCAGACCATCCCTGTGCTGTTGCACATTTACTTCAACACAATTGTTACGGTGAAGAGATTTGACTTCTTTACAAATTCAGTACAACTGTAATTGCTGTATGTTCATTAAGTTGCACAGCTGTGGGTAAATACTGGATGTTTAAAACTACATCATATTTGTTTTTCTAGGTGGCTGATGAGAAACTTTTAGCACATTTGATTCTGGTGATGCTGGAGAGAAGCTGCGTCCTACTCAACATCCCCACATACATCAAAGAGATACACAGGTAAACCTAAAAACAACCGGAACTGATGTTTTCTGTCTTAAAGGCTCTGTCGGTAGCCGCTTTCAGACATGCTCTCTTTTCCATTAATCTGACACCACCTGAACATGTCAGCTTCATGACTGAATGGTCACTTGCCTCACCCTTCTGTAAAAGTTACAACAGCAATCTTACAAGTCACTGGTTACTAGTCACAAGTCTGTACTGCAGGAGACGCATTAACAGATGGTCATAAAAAAGCAACAGCACTTTTGTGATGAAGGGAAGGCTTTTGCCACATTTTAGGAACCAAATTGGTCCATTAGCATCCCAAAGAGCAAAAGACACAATTTATCATTCTTTTTGCTCTACAATAACACATCTATTAATAATTAATAAAAATAAAGTAGACTGATAGTTATGTGGACTGTTTGGTAAACTGCTATTAGTTCAGATTATTTTTCACCCTGATCTCCTCGTCACTCCATCCGTCTTCACCGTTTCTGCAGGGTGTTCAGCTGCCATCTGCTGAGGCTGTGCAAGCTCCACCCCTCTCTGGTGGTGGACCAGTCTCACGAGCTCCTGGAGTTTGCAGGAATCCCTGGCAACGTGTACAGCAAAGAAGAAATCTACACACACGTGGTAAAGACTTTGTGTGTTTGCCGAGAGGAGCACTTAAAGATCCTTTCTGGCTGTCATATTTGATTCGTTTGTTAAAACTCAGCATCATTGAAAAACAGTATAAAATGTGCCAAAACTCGACTCTGAAACTTTGCTGGTTTTCAGGTGTGGGTGCTGGGAGAATACCTCTCTGTGTCATGTGACAGTCGCTGCTCTGTGAGACTCATCACGACTTGTTTTGAAACACTGGAGGCGGTATTGTTTGAGATCACTTCGTCTGGCAGTCTTCCTGGAGCGGTTTGCCCCGCCCCGAGAGTCATCACCACTTTAATGAGCGCTCTTGCAAAGCTAGCATCACGGTCACATGACCTCATACCCAGGTAAATGACTTTCTTTTTTCTTTCTTTTTTTTTTTTGATTTGTTTGGGTTCATACTGTCATCTGTAATCTAACTGTGTGTTTGTGTCTGTTTTAGGGTGTCTCTGTTCCTCTCCAAGCTGAGAACGGTAACCAGAGGCGGATCTGTTCCCTGGTGCTCTGATGAGGAGGACCTTGTTGCCATAGTAACCCGAGGCGAGGAGTTGTGGTCACTGCTGAAGGCTCCCGGTGTGGCTCAGAGCATCCTGACCCCATCTCCCCACATCACCACACCGCAGTGGCACAGAGACACTAACGTGGCCATGCCGCTGCAGCTACGAGCCCTCACCAGCCTCACACACTCTCAGTGACACACACACACACACACACACACACTTCATCATCATCTTGCACTCGCAGACACATCAGTTTAAAAAATCGACTTATTCTAACATCGACCTTGTTTGATTTTTGCACATTGTTTTTGTGAATAAATGACATTTTGTGATTGAAGGTGTTCATGATTATTCAGAAAGTACAGAAATCCTTTACAGTCAATATAGAGTCTCTTCTTTAATACAGTGATTTCACAGATATAGAATTTTTTTTTTTTTTTTACAAAATAGATCATCTGATTTAGAAAAAAGAAAAAATATAAATGCTCACTACCTGAGTAAGTGTTTTCTGAAAGTAAAAACAACAGTTGAACTACCAGAGTTTAGGAACATCCTCAGACTGTTATCAATACAGTGCTTGTGGAAATATATAAAATCAAAAATTATAAAAATAAAAATGTAAATTTGCATATATAATCTACCTGTGTAACACAACCATCCAATTCTGTCATACTCACAGGACACTCAGGAATTCAACATTATATGTCGCTGTTGTTGATAGAAAAGTGCTCGTGGATAAAGAGTGCACCACTTTGATTAAACAACTGGCGATTAGAGCCGTCTGAACAAAATACTAAAAGCACAACGCCTTGACATTTAGTGTGATTGTAACATCTGACTCATCAAAGTGGTCTTAGATGTTTTCGAGAACAAATAAAATCGCAGCAGATTCACAATCAAGCCACTTCTATCAACTTGGTATTTGATCGTTATCTTAATAATTTGCAGTCAATCTTCTCATTAACGGCTGATTGATATTACCTGGATATGATGCTGTGTCGCGTAACATTTAAATTTCCCCAGTGAGGAATCAATCAATGAAGTTTATCTTCAAGTCTGATTGGCAAAATCCACAACAACTTAAAAGAAACTGCTCCTGAATAAACTTTCTTTTAGTTTGGGGCTAATTTTTCAGCCTAAAAATGAACAAAAAGTCAAATAAAAGCAGCCTAATTGTGAGTTTTACTACACGACTGTAGCTGTGAGCACCAACATGAAGGATTGCTTGTTTTGGTACATCACTTGAAAGGAAACAGTCGTCAATTAAGTTCAAGAGAAGAAGACGCTTGAAAAGATAGTTTATGATGATCAATGCCACTCTTATGTCTGCATATTAAACGTGAAGCAGCTGATTTACTAGTTTAGTGTCGAGGCAGTGATATGCTGGTGTCTCCTTTGTCTGGCTAATGACAAAGATATTCAATAGGCACTAAAAGTGATCGACCTTTGCTTTTAAAACAGCTCCAGGTCTCCTCAACACACTTGCCCACAGTGTCATGGTCGTTGCTCGGTAGGTTGCACATAACATATTGGACAACTCGATGTCTTCTGTCCCTTCATGTGATTAAGATCTCTTTGGGGGTTATACCACCTGTTGCAGGACTCTTTGTTCTTATGGGTGAGTATAGTTTAAGACTTTGTATATTTAAGGGTCATGGTCACACTGGATAATAAATCTGTGTTCAGTCAGATTCCTCTGTGATGATACTGCATGATGGATAGGAATGTGCACATTTACACAGTTCTCTGTTGCAGATATGAGTGTTATCAGTCTTCATTTCTAAAACTATATCCTGTAACTGAACGTAGGGCAACTATGTAAACACCACTTTTCGAGGTGATGAACACAAGTTAAGGTTCACACCCAAAGAGTCTCTGTCACTTATAAGGCAGTGTGATTGTCTATAACAATGTCAGCAGCCTTAGAATCATGTTTTTGCTTAAGTTTGGTCTAGTGAGGCGAGATATTAAAAAACTGGCATTTTCAACAGATTTAGATTAGACAAAGTGTTTGGTCCCAGTTGAGGCGAATTTCCTCTGATCTTTAGCAGTCAGATCATCAGCACCATCCCTGGAGGTATCTAAGTTAGTGGTAGTTGATGCAATGACTAAAATAGACTTTTATCAGTCACTCGGTATGGAAACATGTAATCCCAGATGACAGCATCCAGTCACCTCGATGTCTGCAGCACTGGCCCAGGCAAGTACAGGTACCTCCAGATGGCGTAATAATGAATGGCTGCTCCGACTGCAACAAAAAGGTGCCAGATGGCATGGGCAAACGGGACGAGGCCGTCACTCTTAAAGAAGACGATGCCCACCACGTAGAAAACGCCTCCAATGGCAAGTTCACACACACCTGCACGCTCCACCTGTAAAATATCCAGTGGAAGAGTTAGGAGATAAAACCATCTGCAGCTCAAACAAATCAGATCAAAGTTTCTGCTAGAGCACGTTTAACACAACCAATGTCAAACGTAACTGTTCAAAAACAGACTCCCACACTGTCTAACTTATCATAAATGTATTAATGCAATGTTTTGGTCCTTGACCTTCATCAGACACATAGTCAGATGCTTTGATGTAAAAAATAAACTAATTAATTAATTAATTAATTAAAATAATATTAATAACAGTATTTGCCCAAAAAATAGAGCTGTGGTGAATACTTTTACATTTTGGACTGGAGGGATGCTAGACCATGTTTTGCATATTTTAGCCACATTATCTTCAATAGTTGTCTTTAAAGAAAGTGCATCACTGAGAAATTTCACGTTCCTAACACCTTCATTCCGCAATGTATGATGGTTCAAGCTATATCTGACAGAAAATGTTTGCTTTACTTGGGAGAATATTCTCAACTGCAGCCCCACTTGCTTGTGGGAGTCCTCAGGGTTCTATTGTAGGCCCAATCCTTGTTTCTTTGTATATCGTAGGTTTGGGGTCCTTTTTAAGAAACATGAGTTGCTGAGTGTAACTCCAGTTTAATGAGTATGTGTGTTGCTCTCTAACAGGCTTAAGTTTTGTTTGTGAGAGGTGATCAGACATTACTATGTAGGGTCCGGGAACACCCCAGACCATACGTGAACGTATTTGGTAACACAAATGTTGAGATATTTCAGTTGGAACCCAAGGACTAGAGAACCACATCACAAAAACACAAAGGTGAAGTGTTGAGTTTGAGTCTCTCTTACTCTAATTTAAGCCCATGTAAGTCGTGTGCTTTGGAAAACAGAAATGATATTTAGATGTGTCCGTAGATTGTGGGCTAAAACAAAAGGAGGCCTCAGTTTGGTTCTTTTAACAACGACCATCTGCTTCACTAACAATAGAAGGAAGTCTGTTGCCGTGGAAGGACTTGCTAAAGAAAGCTTTTTTTAGAAGCCAAGAGAGACAACACTTATTTGAGCTTACCATGGACAGAATGACCAAAGCAGGAACAGCCCCCATGGTGACATATCCCAGCAGCTCTATCAGCTTGTACCTGCAGGTAGAAAACTGGGACATGAAAAGACGACATCTCCTTTTATCGTCGTAACTGTTTCTGCTTCAAACACTCGTCAAGTGTTTGCTGTAAACACCTGAGGGTGGGTGGGGGTTTGGTTTCAGGTTAACTGTGTCAAACCGGTGAGCAGAGACACGAAGAGAGACCGTGTTACCTCTCATGGAAAAAGAAGACATACATGGATCCAATACAAGCCATGACCCAGATTAGCCAGCGCATGTGGCACGCCCAGGGCCCCAGCTCCCTCAGCATCAACCTGAGGAGACATGTCACACACATCACTGCGGTGTGATCACTGGGATGTTGTTAACCAGCTTTGCTGTCCCTCAGATTGCGTATAATTTATAACACTGGACCCACCAGGGAGAGTAGGAAGCGGCGATGAAGAAGTAGATGGCCATCCTGTCACACATGTGGAAACGCTGCTCCACTGTCCTACACAGAGACACAAAACACAAGAGCTCATTTCTACTACAGAACTAGATCTGCATTTGGGGTAAAAATATTATGGGAAGTTAGTTAACATTTAGTAAATAGGAGTTTGACTATCTAGAAGTTAAATTCCAGACATTAAAACATTCTGACCGGTTGAAACAAAAGTGAGAGGTATCTGTATTTCCATGTGAAGCTGCAGTTATTTCAAACATCACAAATTGTCATCCGTGGTGCTGCTCATGTGAGGCTTCCCATTGGATATTAGTCCAGCAAAGCTTCTAAACAGTTTCAGCAGCAGTAAATGGCAACTGCTTTAGTGGATAAGATGGTTAGAAAACGCTGTGAAATAGCAAGAACTCCTCGGTGAGGAGTTTGTGAAGAGCTGGAGTCTTGTAAATTTAAAAATTTACAAGAGCTTTGGTATCAGGCGGCTCTGATGCGTCAGTAAAACAACTTGTTAACAGTTACCATAGTATGTTTGAAAAGCAAGCTTCCATCTTCCTCCTACTTGCAGAAGCTTCTGATGTAACTACAGATATCTACGACATCATTTTATCTTGTCAGAGCTCTAAGTGAGTATATCTGTAACTTGACTGGACAAAATTCCAGCTGAAGATATCTACAATTTGAGATATCTGCAGCAGCATTCTGACTACTTCAGACTTGAATTTAAGAATCTAAAAAAGGACAATGTAGATATCTTGAAACGAGGAGAACTGAAGATATCTTGGACCACAAGTAGGACTAGCTGGAATAAAACTGTGGATTTCTTAAACTGGAGTTAGAGCTGGTTGTAATTCAGATGCTCACATCTGTAATGAAAGTGTTTATTGGGTGGGTTTTTTGACTAGTAATCATTTAATTACAGATATCTGCAATACATAAATGGTAAAAAGGATTTGCCATAAAAAAGCAGATTCTGTTCATTATCAAGAATTCCTAAATAAACAGGATCCAGACTGCAGAAATATTATCATCCAAGGATTTACGTCTCCTGGAATTTTTACGAGTTTGTTTAAAAAAAACACACATTCCTCCAACTCTGTCCTTCATTAAAGAAAACAGTGCTTGTTGTGTCTGTTTGGTGGTTGTTTGTACAATATGAATACATTCTTAGTCAAGAATGTTAATAAAACCCAGCAGTATCACAATAACCGCTCAGCGTTTTGACCCTCACTGTCGTATGACTTTTAGGAGGACACATAGCTTTGAACTAAAAATCATCCAGGCTTGTAGGAGAATTGAAATAGTAGTCCAGATCTCTGTTCTTTATACATCAAAGTGAGTTTACTTTACTTTGGTCATTTGACATGTTCTTGAGCCCAAAGTACAGGAGGGAACCCCCTATATGTACATGTAAAAATGTAAATATAGTCAATATAATGATTTTAAATGAGTTCATGCTATGGAGTAAAATGACAAAATAAATCCTGAGTCTCTTTAGACAACAACGACAGAATGAGCAGGAACATATTAGTCTGGATTTGTTACCTGAATAACTTTCTGAGATGAACAGAGAAGATTTCATTTAAATTGTCAAACATTTTTATACTGTCAAAGCAGTGAAAGTCAGTTTGTGTTCATGTAGCTCAACATCACAAATCACACATCTGTCTAGAGGCACCTTCTGTCCTTCAACCCTCTGTTTAGATTTTTTTTTTAAAAACTACAGAAAAAAGGTTCATTTGACTTTTAACACCTAATTCGTGGACTGTTTCTTAAAATTTCCGTAAAGCAAAACTATGAGGCCTTAATGAACAGCCTCAGGTCTGGTTGCACCACTATCATTGTGTTTTGTTTTTTGCTTTAAGCCAGTCACAGTTGTCCTACTACTAAGCAAAGAATGCGGTCAAGGTGTTCCCTCAAAATGGTGATGTTTGGAATAGTTGTGGGGGAACATTTGCATGAAAGGCGATGAGCACTGTTATTAAAATTGATAATCCACCGCAACAAAAACAAAAAACAAGAAGGGCACGATTCAATTTTTTCCGTGTGGTAGGTTGCTACTTGGAAGTCGTTTCCCCTCATGAACCTGAACCTGATTCAAAAGTTCTCAAATACAACTCTGCCAAATGAAAGCCTGATCTGTTTACTAAAGTCAAATTGTTTTCTGTCATATAAAGTTTTTTTTTCCTATTAGGGAGATTTTGACGTTGGGGTATTTGCAGCAGAGACATTAATGTACATAAAGCTGCACTATAGAACTTGACCTCTAATCTTTAGAGCAACTCATCGAGTAGTAATCAAAACACATTTTATTGTATAATAAGCTGTAATTTACTAATTATCACTACATAGGAACAGAAATTTCCGTGTTGATTTATGGATGTCTTGCCTATAGGTGAACTTTACCCCCTCAAATACTCCACAGCATCTCTTCTCCTGGGCTGTTTTAAATAGTGGTCACCGAAATAACCAAAATGGGAACTGCACCAGTATTAGTCTATGCACAGATAGTTAGCAACATGACTGCAAAATAAGAATTGGAAGTATCCAATTCCTTATCTGTTACATATCCACGTGGCCACTCCTTTGAGAAACCTCCAGATGCATTCTAATAACAGACACAGTGGGGTCCCAGTGCAGGAATCTCCAGGGTGAATGAGGATAATATGCAAGTGATGCCCTTTCTTATACACTTTCATGACCATGCCATATCTGTCGCCTGATGTCTGGTCTTCTAGCTGTGTTGGTTGACGTACTCGATGTCTGCATGTGTTCTAAATCTACCAGAGCACCACGTGAACACACACACATGCACATCTGCCAAATTCCTACCCGCATTTTGTGCAACACAGACACACAAACACACACCGGAGGTGGCTGATTTTCCAGGCAGCAGTGTGGAAGAGCGTTGAGGTGATGAACAGGCCCGTGAGACCACTCCCATAGAGCCAGGCAGCAACGCAGTGCCATTGGTCCACAGACAGGAAGTAGAGCACAGACCCGCCCACCAGACTGGGGAGGATCCACAGCTAGAAAACATCAGTCACAAATTATTATCATTTTCCTCACAGTACACACATTTTTATTGTATAGGTGCTTCTCAGTGATACAAAAAAAAAATCAATAAAATGTGCTTTTGGTTGAGCAGAGCTTCCTCCATAGATCCACACTCTTGTTGTTTAGCTTTTCTGATGTATTGTGTAGTTATTTTAATTTTCTATTCATGTTTCTTGACATTATTTGATATTCTTTTTTTTGTCTAAATCCACAACAAAACAACAACCTCTAGATTACCCTGCAGTTTAACATTGTAGGTAACAGACCTTTGCTTTAATGTTGAGGATCTGATGAATTTGACTGTAAATACATTGATGGGAGTAAACAACACTAGCAGCTGGCTTAATTAGCTAAGCACAAAGACTAAAAACAGGACGACACAGTGAGGCTGGCTCTATCCAGAGTAATAGATAATATATCTCAATGTACTTGTGGATACCCACAGATGCATAATTGTTGTTCTTCTCTAGTTTGCAGAAGTTTGATTGGAACGGCGGTTCCATACATGCAAGGTAGATATGGTTGATATGGTCGCACATGGACACAACCTTTGGGCTGCAGGCGATGTCTGTGGTGGGGTTCATGTGGACCAGGGGTGGGCAGTCCTGGTCCTCGAGAACCACAGTCCTGCATGTTTTAGATGTATCCCTTTTCTAACACACCTGATTCAAGTGATCAGCTCATCATCAAGCTCTGCAGAAGCCTGATAACGATCCTGGAAGAGGGAAACATCTACAACATGCAGGACTGTGGCCCTCGAGGACCAGGATTGCCCACCCCTGATGTGGACTCTTTGGCACTTGGGGAGATGACAAAACATACACAATGCGACCACTTGTGTACACAGAAAGTCTACCATCAACCTTCTACTATCCGGGTCTAAAACTGCTACTATACTACCACTATGCTATTTTTCTAGTCTGCTTGAAAGACTCTGTTGCATACATGCACAGTAGATCTAAGTAATTTGTGAATGCTCTGCAGTCGTGTGTACTTGTAGCATAGTTGCCATATGGACACAAATTTTAGGTCATCAGGAGACATGACATCATTTTCCATAGTTATGACGCACACGGCTGTACATCACCGTGTCTCCTGATGACTCCAGTCCAACCAATACCCTTTTTTTTAAACTGTATTTTCGACATTAAATCACTTTAATTGACATTGAACCTGAAGTGAATAAATTAATAGATGTATCTGATAACAGAAAACATTTGACGCTTTAAAATCACTGCGTCCATGTTTTCACTCGTCTTTCTTCTGTCTTCTGTCCGGCTGTTTCATTCACTCTCTCTCGGGCCGGAGCACACAGGGATTACAGCAGATTTGAGAAAACTACAGGCTGACGAACAGATTATCTCACTGCCTCTATGGCACAGCCAAAAATCCTCCTCATTCTGCCTCATTCCTCACAATCCCCTCCATCTTTCCAGAGGCCTCTCTAAACTGACAAACTCGCTACACGGGGACAGAGCGAACGTGAAAAAAAACGTCCTTTCTTTAGTGGTGTCACAGTTCACACACGGGTTACTTATTAATGGTTTGTAGTTTATGGTCAAATGCAGTCATCTGAATCATGAGATGACAATGAAGCCATTGTCTGTTCCTGCCAAGCGGCAACGACAGTCCTGTAAAACATTAGTAATGTTTTGTTTCAAGAGAGTGAATACGAGGAGGAATGTGCAATACGCCTTGTTTATGTATAAATATGCCCCCAAAAAGACCACAACTTTAAGAATTGGGAGACAATGCCCTGTCTCTGCTTGTTCAGTTTGTCTCTTTTCCCCTTTGTATCGAGCTTCAGGCTGGTGTTAAAGCTGATTCTTGCTTTTCCGCCTGTCGACAAGAGACCAACATGTGCAACTTGTTACTGCATCATGTCTGCCCACTGCGCTTGACATACCTCAGGAATAATCACATTAACACAGTGCTACAGGCCAATCTGTAACTAGCTGGTTTATACTGTAAAAAGTGCAATGGCACAGACGGCTTTTCTGTGTTGTAGTACGAATCTAACGATCACAGTACGTAGATACGATCACCTGTGCATGCATGGAACCGAGTCCTTCCAGTGGACTCCAACGGACAAGGGATGTAGTAAAGAGTCATGATTATGCTCCTGTGCAGACGTACACACAGACAACTATGAACACCATGGACACACTGTTTTTGCTCTTTATCTAGTCTGTTCGAAACTTCACTGCATACATGCATAGTAGATCGATGTATTACAAGCATGCACACTACTGCCCAGCATGTGGACTATTGTCTTTGTAGTGTAGTCACCATACAGACACAGATTTTGGGCCGTGTGTAGAAGAGTGCACATGGACTTTTGCGGGATTGGAGAGATGACAAAATTTATGCCAAGTGGATCTTCACATACTGAATTCAGTTTAATTGATATAGGGCCAATTCACAACATTTGTCATATCATGGCACTTCACATAGTAAAATGAAGACCGTACGAATTTTAAACTGACAACCCAACAATCGAAAGTTGCCTTTGGATTCCCTATGAGCAAGCAGTCAGTGACAATGGGAAGGAACCAAAAAGAGAAAACCTCTGACATAACCAGGCTCAGAGAAGGCAGCCATCTGCCTCAACTGGTTGGGGTGAGGGTGGGGATGAGGGAAAGCAGGAGAAACGTATAATTACCAGTCTGACAACAACAACTACTCATCCTTAGGTGTCCGTCGCTGTCAATGTGAGCATCAACACACAAGTGTAATCAAGGCTTGGGACTCCTTTTTTGGTAGACTTTGAGTCTACCAAATCTCCTTTCAGCATGAGTTAACTTGCTCATAAGGTTTCCAGCACAAACAGTAAAACAGATTTTTTTTTTATTCTGAAGACATGTGCGGATGCTTACCCCGTGTGTGGCACAGTTTGCAGCATGTTCGTATTCAGTGGGCTGGTATCTCTTACTGGCCGGCACCCTGCAGTTCATGAACCTGAGAGACGGGTGAGAGGGGACGGGGGAGGAGGGAGGGGAGAAAGTCTTCAGAGAGTGTTCAGGTAATAAAAGTACATCTGGAGGCCTTTCTGCTTTATTAGTGTAGAAGGCAACTGTGAACTGAACCCATGGAGCCAGAGTGTGTGTGTGTGTGTGTGTGTGTGTGTGTGTGTGTGTGTGTGTGTGTGTGTGTGTGTGTGTGCGTGCGATGGACATTCTTCAAGGATTTACAGGTCTCTAATCCACATCACGTTTGAATTTTAGTGCGCCTCATCGTTACTGGGCCAATTGTCCATGTTGCTATGGTCACCAGTGATGTCACAAGAAGACACCATTAAGCGTTAACTACTTGAAAGTTCTTACACATGTGTGCTGTATTCTCGTGGGTGTGTGTGTGTGTGAGTTGTATAAGCTATTTAATCAGCAGTAAACCTCTTAGTTCCAGTTAACAGGAAAATAACACATCTGGGGATGTTACAAAACGACATTCTTTACGTTGAAATGAACAACAAGTATGAACGTAGCTCCTCGTGCGAGGCCACAGGTGTGTCTGTGTTGGTCAGCTGTGTTATTTGATTACACATTTAGGGCAACCGCTCATCATCACACGCCTATAACTCCTACTGCTGTTTGTTGTAACGGTTCAGTGGAAAGAGCAAATAGGAGGAACTGAAGCAGAAGAAAAAATGAAGGCAACATGGCTGCAGCAGCTCGACTTGTCACACTCCTCACCTGAAAGTCTGTCGAACGCTTGATTACCAAAACACTTCCTGGAGACATTCACAACACAGTGACTAGACATAGCAAAAAAATTTAATAATCCAAACTAATTTTTAATCTGAAAAGAGAACCATATATCAACTGGAAACATAATGGCTGAGAAACAGTACCTGCAGGAAAGGAAAAGAAAAGTTCAGCTTTGTGGAAAAGAAAAGTAAAGAAGCAATAAAACAATTTTTGGCCATTGATTCAATTTTGAAAATACTGTAACTGTGTTATGGGGGACAGAGAACACAGAGTTTATTCAGTTAGTCTTCAGCTCTTCCATGCAGCTTCTTCCTCTCATCCTCTGGTTTTTGTTCAAGGTGGTTAGTTTTGTCATTTCAACCTGAATCTGTTTTTTTACGTCAGGTTTCTGTCACTCACATAGACTGTATGTAAAAATGAACATAGCTTCTCGGCTGCAGTTAACGAGTCTAATTGCAAAAAAAGTCTATTAGAAAATAAGCACATTTCTTACTTACATTTTAATGACTTTACCTCCCAATCACTAGTTTCAAGTCTGCTTCAATGCAGCATGATGCTCATTTTGAAAAATTATGGCCCAGTTCAGAGTAAAATAGACGATGAGGCAGGTATGTTTTAGGACAGGGACAGCTGTTGATTGGCAGCTGCATCAGTGTCCTCAAGGTGTCATAAGTTGCTCAAAGCTTCAAAGCAGTAGACCACAAACTAATAAAGGATGTTGCAACATCCATCTTTTACACACAGTCTGCTGCCGCTGCTTTATTTTTGGTGTACAGGTCAGATTTTTCCACAAACTTCTTTAGCCCATTTTCGATTCTTTCAGACCAGAGCGAACCTGAAACTTGTTAGAGGATTCATTTTTGATCCTGCAGCTCCTCCACCTTCTCTGCTGCTCCTCATTGTGTTGCATACATTGTGTCAATATGTCAAAATGTTTCTTTTTTTTTTTCTGGTTCACTGCCTGGAGCATCGTCATCCTCTCTTTGTGGAGTAATCCCTCCATCCAGAACAGATGGCCGTTTGGTTCCTCCACCTGTGCCAACGTGCAACAAGGAAGCTCTCTCTGCTTCTGGACTTTTTAATTCCTCTCTGCAAAAAGATGTGGCCTCTGCATGACGACTCAACGTTTAGGACACACCAATGAAACCTGCTAAAACTAATGGTTTTTAAACTGTTGCCAGACTGATAAACAGAGTCCACTTCATTTTGCTTAATTATATAATTTACTGCAGCAGGATTATGGCTCCTCTCCCTCCCAAATAATCTGTAGAAAGTGTGTCTGTGTTTGTGTTTCTAAGCCCCGGATGCAGTGATGGTGCTCCTGCAAAGTTAGTGACAGGAGACAAACACTGTCACTAAAATGGCTAATTCACCAAAAGAACCAAGCAGAAGCAACCATTTTGCATGATTTTAATCTTTGGTTCAGATTTCTAACATGTAGGTTGCTGCTTGGAGGTTGGAGGTGAACAGGAATTTGAAAATGGTGACATGCTGATAGAAGAAGGGAAGGAGAAAGTCATGTTTAGTGTTTGGCACAAAGTCTTCGAACAGTGAATCAGACCGTGGAAGTGGTTTTAACAGAGGTTTGCTTAACGTTACAGTTACAGAAAACAGTGATTTTCGAAGGTCTTTATAGTGTAGATCAATTTAAATGGTTTTTATTTATTTGGCCTGACAGTTTGTCGGCCTCTGCTGCAGTGCATGCTGGGACAGGAACCGTCTGACTCTAAATAATCAGCTTAGAAAGAATGAACAGCTGCAGTTCTTTCCTGGACAAGATTATACTTTGAAGTTTGAAAATTAGGAAAAAAAATGAATGGATGCAATGGCACAAATTAGGAGGATGATCCTATCTCAATAACGATGCATTGAAACCGAACCCTACCACTCAGTAGCAGCACAAATTTTCAGAACAGGAGTGTTGTTGTTTGTTGTTGTTGTTGTTTTAATGGGTAAAGCATCAGGGCTCTCTAAAGCACATCTCTTGGTCTTTTTTTCTTTCTCTCTTTCCGTGCAGTTTTTGGGATCTTGCAAGTCGTGGATCCAGTTTTTTTGCTCTTAATCTACTTTTCTGGAACTCCTATCAGTTTTACTTCATAATCAACAAGGTGCTCATTTGTAAAATCCAAATCCTACAAAAAACAGTAAATAAACAAAATGCTTTTTACCATCCAGTGTCATCTGCACTTTCTCACTCTACAAAAAAAAAAACATTTCGTGAGACAACATTAGATGATTGTTGGGCTGCCATTTCTTCTTCCTTTGTCCTGTGTGTCTTCAGGCGGTGCCGTGCACATAAAAGGTCTTTTTTTCTGAACACTGTTACAGAATTGTGGCTCTGTAGGGACCTGAATGTGGCACTCTGATGTCCTCTAATCAGTTTTGACAGAACTCTGTGTGTGTACGTGTATGTGTGTGTGTAATGAACTGAAAGGGAAGGATTCACAGGCAGCTCAGAGACGACGTTATTGTCATCATCAGAGCACTGCTCCCTCTCTCTCTCTCTCTGCTCTCTTTCTTTTATTCAGATTCTGTCTTTCCTGCACATGGACGTGCGTCATGTGTTGGATGCATGTCCCTGCGTGCTTTTGCGCGCACGTGGAACCCGTGTTTTCATCTCACAAAGCAAGTGTGTGCTTATAAAAGCTCTTTACAGCACATTCCATACATTCGATCGCATCTAAGAGGATCAGAACCTTTGGATCCTGGTAGGACAGTGTGCACTACAGGAGTCTGTGTGTGTGAGTGTTTATAATCTATGTAACTCTAAGGCTATTCCTTTTACAGCAAAGATCAACTTAATCTCCTCTGGGACTCAAAAACTGGTTCTCACGATTATCACCATCTCTCAGTTCCGCACACGCACACATACATACACACAAACACAGAGACAAACTGACAAATAAATGCCCTGAAGCAGAATTCAACATAGTATACTCGTAACTGCTGTCTCTAACTACCGTTGAGCTATAGAGCTGCAATGATTCATCAGTTACTTGTCATATTTTTACAATTAGTTTCAGTAATTTTTTGAAAATAAATCTAAACTCTCTGATTGCAGCTTCATAAAGATGACTATTTTTATATTTATAGACCAAACAAGACATTGGTCAGATTGGGTTTTGGAAAACATTTTCTGACATTTTATAGAACAAACAACATTAATCAAGAAAACAAACGACAGCTTGATCAACAGTGATTATTTGCAGCCATGTTGAACTATGACCCCAAAAGGAAGTTCAAAGTGAAACAGATTAAGAAGCAACTTGATGCATAGAATACAGTAATCCTGACAGAAAGACTGAAAAGTAAACTGACCATCTGTCTTGGTGAGGTAAAGATATCTGCTCTCCAAGCTCGTTGCTTCTCTCTCTCTCGCTCTCTCTCTCTCACACACACACACACACACACACAAACACAAACACAAAACTAATCTATAACATCCCTCTGACTGTCCCGGTGCCAGCGCGTCATTACGCATAGACGCACAGGGCATGTCACACATGAAAAACATGGTGCCACATATTGTAGATCAAACTTTTCAAAGCAAATTATATTTACCTTCCAAATTTAGTCTTCTTAAAGTCCATCTCTCGCGTAGGCTGCGTGGATGCGCGCAACAGTAAACCAGCCAGTGCGGTCCCTCCTACGGATTCCCCATTCCGGATATCCCAGCGCCGTGCGTCCAAACATAAAAACATAAGTCCAGCAGGGCCAACGACCTGCAGAGCTTCTCATCTACAGGTCGGCAACAACTGCATGGATTCGGCAAAAGTGCTCGGACTTCTCCGGGGGATCAGACAACTAGTCATCCCAACGCGGAGCCGGGAGGCGGTGCGCAGTGACGGGAAAAGTGCGGAGTTTTACTGCGAGTCTCAGATGTGTTTGCAGGATGTTCCGCGGGACCGAGCCTGTAACCCCTCCTCCTCCTCTCCCCTCCCCTTTCTCCCGATGATAACGCACCAACAAACAGTGATCCCTCCCCACACACACTAACACTTTCTGTTGCGTCCTTTTTTAATTTTCAACTCGTGGGGCATGTCATCGGGGAAGTTGTTGGAACATAACCGAGGACAATGCAAGAAGAAAGTCACAAAGGAGACACCAAAACCTGACTAAATGATGAAAGGGGATTGAAGAGAGTTGTTCATGTCATCATACCTTCATATGTGAGAATGTGCAAATTTTGACATACATTTCCATTTGCATTAACTTCCAGAACAGAAATCTGAAGTCAAGGTTAAAGGTCAAAAGGTTTTCAAAGGGGAATTTGTAAAATCCATTTTAGCCATGTTTTATAGAACAAAATGTTTCAAAAATCAGGCTGCTAAATATACATGAACAAACTCCTCTGTGGGAATAAAACTGGAAAAAATTGGAGCACCAGTGTTGCTGTTGTGGACATTTCTGGCCCAGAGTTGGAGAAAAAAAAATACAAAATTCCAAACATTTTGTTTGTAACCATTATTTACAAGTAAAAATTGTAACTGATGGATATCACAATGAAACCATTACAGTTTATTACATACTTAATGTTTTTTATCTGGTAATAATTATATCACAATGTCAATTAACTTGTGTTTTAAACCAACGCACAGAATACAATCATCGATACATGTCGTCCATGTAACTGTCCTACAATGGTAGTAAGAGAAAAGAAAAAAAAAGACAACCGCCATATGGATTAAACTTTGATCAAAGTGTTCTTATGCTACTGTTAGTCACAGTTAATTACAGAAGTGACAGTAACATTTTCACTACCAAATACACCATTATGTATTTTTGATGTTTTTGTTTTTTTTTAGAATAACTAATATTAATAAAGACAATGATCATACAGAAATACAAAGAAAGGTTTGGGAGATTGCTCCCTGCTGGTTTGGTGTAATTATTGTCAATAATGTGGCTTAAGTTGGAGATTAAATAACTCAAACCATGTAACAACTAGGATCAGCCAAAAGGCCTGCAGCAATTGCAGAAGCAAAACCTCAGGCGTAGGAGGAGTTCAGAGAGGCTATGAAGAAGGACTTTCAGTTGGGATTGAGGAAGTTCTGGCAGCTGTTTGATGCCTCAGGAGGGGGAGGAAAGGCTTGGCCAGGCTGTGTACCGTTGGGGTGGAGAACTGCTGATCCAGACTGGGAACATTGTTAGGTGGTGGAAAGAGCACTTCAAGGAACTCCTTAACCCGGTTAACATGTCTTGTGCTGACGAGGCAGAGCCTGATGGCTCAGTCTTTGCCTATATCTGTTGTAGAAGTTGGAGAGGTAGTTAAGAAACGCCTCTGTGGCAAAGCGCCAGGTGTGGTTAAGATTTGCCCTGGCATGCTGAATATCGTTGGACTGTCTTGGCTGACACATCTCTTAAATGTTGTGTGGGCACTTTACAGCGCCTGTGGAGTGGCAGACAGGGGTGGTGGTTCCCATTTTCAAAAAAGGGGACCTGAGGACCAAAAATCAGGATATCACACTTCTCACCCTCCCTGGGAAAGTTTGCCCTGTGGTGCTGGAATGGAGATATCAACCGATAGTCAAACCACGAATTCAGAAGGAGCAATACAGATTCTGTCCTAGTCACAGAACAGTGGACCAGCCCTCTGGAGGTCATGGGAGTTTGCCCTGCCAGTCCACATGTGTTTCATGAACTTAGAAAAGACTTTGTCCCCCGAGGGGATACTTTGACACGAGTCATTCGGTTCCTGTACAACCAAAGTGAGAGCTGTGTTTGCATTCTTGGCACAAATTGCCAATGGGTGTTGGACTCCCCCCGGGCTGCCCCTTGTCTCGGATCCCATTTGTGGTGTTCATGGACAGGATCTAGTCGAGCCGTGGTGAGGAGGGTGTCTGGTCTGGTGACCTCATGACCACGTGACAGTGACCTTCAGCATGCACTGGAGCAGTTTGCAGCTGAGTGGAAGCTGTGGGGATGTGAGTCAACACCTCCAAGTCTGAGACCATGGTTCTCTCCCGAATAGTGGATTGAGGGGAGTTGCTTCCCCAAGTGAAGGAGTTTAAGTATCTCAGGATCTTGTTATGAGTGATGGGAAAATAGAGTGTGAGATGGACAGGCGACTTGGTGCAGCGTCAGTAGTAATGCAGACGTTGTACCAAACCTTCATGGTCAAAAGTAACTAAAGGCAAAGCACTGGATTTACCAGTTCATCTTTGTCCCAAGTCTCACCGATGATCATGAGCTCTGGGTAGTGACTGAAAGAATAAGATGGAGGGTACCAGCAGCTGAAATGAATTTCCTCCGTAGGGTGGCTGGGCTCAGCCTTAGAGATAGGGTGAGAAGCTCGGACATATAGATGGAGCACGGGGTAGAGTTGTTGCTCCTTCACGTCAAAAGAAGTGAGTTGAGGTGGTTCAGACATCTGATTTGGATGGCTTCAAAGAGGCTTCCTTTGGAGGTTTACCACCTTGGAGGAGACTACGGGGCAGACCCAGGACTCACTGGAGGGAATATATATCTCGTCTGGCCTGGGAACGCCTCAGGATCCCCAAGAAAAAACTGGCAAGTGCTGCTGAGGGGAGGGATGTCTGAGATGACCTGCTTAGTCTGCTGCCTCCACAACCCGACCCTGGACAAGTGGAAGCAAACAGATGGACTGTTACAACAACTACCAGAGCCTGGCTGTTGAAGCACCAGTTGTGACTTTCATTTCAAGACAGCTCTTAAGATAAGACCCATTGAGAAAATAATCTAGCCGCCTATCTAGTTTGATTTGATCTATTGATTCATTTCAGACATGTCAAAACCATTCTACGAAACCCAGTGTACCACACATACACAAAAAGAAAAGAAAGAACAACAAAAAACCAGTAACACTAATATGAAATGATGCACAAAAATATGCAAATTATGCACACATATATACATATACACACGTACATACAGTTCCATTGAACTCTAAGTTTACTCCACTGTTACTTCTTAGGCTTGTCATAAAATACATATATGTATGACAAGCATGGAAAATACAGCAGTGTAAAAGATTAAACTGCTATTCTCAACTATTCTCTTGAATTGTGACACAATTTAGTGATGTTGACTCCTTCCAGCCATTGCTGTACTGTTCTGTGCTTTATATTTCAGTGAAAGATGAGCCCACAGTGAGTAAAAAACGGTGACAGGAACAAAACAAAAAAGAAAAAACACCCAGAAGCTGATCGGGGTTCCAAAGGTTGGTACTATGTTTACTTTTGGGGAAGATGAACTCCCTCCAGGATTTCTAACAACCTCTCATTTCCAGAAAAAAAGACACTGGTGATGTTCAAGGTAAAGGTAACAAGAGGCTGAATTGCCAGTGAAAGAAGTAAAAAAAAACAAAAAACTCCCAACAGAGAAAATTCCACAATAGTTGAAATACTACTAGTAGTGCTTCAACCATATGTGTGTGTGTGTGTGTGTGTGTGTGTGTGTGTGTGTGTGTGTCTAAGCTTTATTTTACAGATCCACTCATGCTTCTTCCTTTCAAACACACACAGACACACTCAAACTGAAGGGATAATTAAATATTATCCAACACTAACAGTGGGCAGCAGCAGGTCTGTGTGGCACCGTGCAGCAGCTGCCTGAGACGGAACAGAGACATTATGCAAACACACAGACATCCAAACAGTTTCCACACTGCAAGCACAACATGTTACACATTTACCCCCCAGCTGTGCTTACAGATAAGATTCAGCAGCAATATTTGTTCAGGTAAATAATACTCCCCGATGTACACCATGAATCCATCGTGTGTGTGGAAACATTGCACCAAGGTTCACAAATGTTTTTGAACATGTAGATTTAAATCTATTTTAAGCCCATCATGCCCATATCTTGACATGGTGACAAATGTTGTTTATTTTTCAGGCAGTGGTGCAAAAAATTAGTTTGGAGGCCGGATTTATAAAACATATTTCTTTGATATTCCTGTGAGTTAAATTACAGTTTCCATCCTCGTTGTGCGTCTCTGTCGGGCATGTTTATAGACACAGATTCAAAATTGCAATGTTTATATGCAGAATACAATTAAAGCTATCTCGATTACAAGAGAAATCTATAGTAGATCTTCATTGTGTACAATAAGAAGACAAATCATCATCACTGTCATCATCATAATTAATGTGCTAAAAGACGCTTCCCATTTATTTAGATTCATCTGCGCATGTGACAATCAAATTCAAATTGAATAAATCATTGTTAAGACAGTTTATGAGAGTGACTTATGAATTGATGCAGGGAATGTTTCCATGTCACTGTTGTTGTTTGTTTTCTCCTGAATGCACCCGAAGTTTTCTCAAGTTTGAATAAAATTTGGATTAGTTTCCACTGTGTGGTCTGTAATTTTAATATAGTAAAATTTCAACTGTTAGTTTTTGAATTTGACGCAAGACCAAATATCCTGCTGTTTAAATTAGAAGTAGCGCAATCACTGTAATATTTGAAATCATTTGTCATTTCGTCGTTGCAGAGTTACTGTGCTTATCAGAGCAGCACATTCATTTAGATGTTGTTCGTACATATAGACGATGGAGGGCGCTGCTACACCAAATAGTGAACAGTGTTACTGTACAGTACAGTGGAGTCTGTCTGAGAGATGAGAGATCCCACTGTACAGAACAGTGGGGCCTGTCTGAGCAATGAGGGATCCGTGTTTTCTCCTGGTTTCTCTCCGCTTTAGCAGACATTAGAAACAGTGACATTGCCGCAGGATCACTGTACAGATGTTCATTATCAGCAGGACGGAGGCCTCAGAAGAACCGTTCTGGCCCTTTAAATTTCTGAGCACGCCGTGTGCTTGGAGCATGCGCAGTAAGGCTGCGCAACAGCTCTACGAAAAACAACAACAATCAGTACAGCAGGGCTGAAACAGAGATGGTCCCGTGAAGCTGAACGCTCACCACTGTACTAATCCCAGTCCAACTGCTGCTATTTCTACCGGAGCTTTATATGTCGATGGTGCCGAGCCCATGAACTTGGCCAGTCAAAGCGGGGACGCTGGCGGAAGCCAGCTCCTCTTCGCCAACTTTAACCAGGATAACACGTAAGGCAGGGCCGGGGAGAGTGGCTGGGATCCGATGGCCTGTGTTGTGAAGCTAGCTGACGCTAGCTAGCTGAGTCTGGACTTGTCTGGGCACCTAACGGGGTCACCCGGCTCTACTTGAAATATCCTGGCTGTGGTTTCTCACGTTAGAAAGGACAACTATTAGACGCCGCTTTGAGCTAGCTAAACAAACTGTCTAGATACTTTTTATATATCAGCTCTTATTAGCATAGCTTGTGGCTAACATGATGCTGTGTGTTCGGAGGCTAACTTTAGACACAATACACATACATGTCGGTTAGGTGTCATGTAACTTGTAAGTAGCCTGGGAAAAGATTGTTTTGACCAATATATTTACTAATTACAGCGAGAGCTAGCTTAGGTCAGAGTGATTTTGTGTGTGCTTTGTGTTTAATGGCTGATATTTTCCGCTACTATTGCAGGACTGTTGGATATTGCTGCGAAAGTCGCAAACTTAAACGCAGCAATGTTCCTTTTTTTCGATGTGATTAAGTAGGACGTGTAGTCTGACCACAGAACACGGGGGCATTCTGCTATGTGTACCAGTGGCTGTACTGGCTCACAGGGACATGGCGTTATTGCAAAACAGCTCCAGCCGTAACCACCGTCACAATCTAAATACTAGATCCAGTATCTCTGGTGACACACGGACAGCTGAAGCCCCTGAAATCAGACCAAGAAGGGCCGATCCCTCCCGTGTTCAGTGCGAAACGCCTCAGGGCTCCAATAATGACCACAGAGTTCATCAATATTCACTGTGTGTTGAAGTGTAATATCTCGCTGATGCAATGGTCGCTCACTGCTGTTGTCTCTAATACAGGTCCTTAGCTGTTGGCACCAAATCAGGATACAAGTTTTTCTCTTTGTCCTCTGTGGACAAACTGGAGCAGATATATGAATGTAGTAAGTATCCTCTAAGTCTGTCATTACTCATTATCACTCTGCTGTATTACTGCTCAGGCATATATTTAGAGCTGTTGTGTTTAATTCATGTTGTATTGACAGGATACAATCAGTGCCATTACAGCATTGCTTTTACTTTAAATATTAATAACATCTGTCAGCACTTTCTCTCCACTATATACTTGACCAACCAGCTTCCTTATAGTTATTTGCATACATAATTGTAGGATCTGGTAACCTGTACCTTTTTAAGACTCCTCTTAAAACCGGCTTACGTAGTAGACCTGGCTTTTATCGCCAAATGGAGGCAAGGAAAGAGAGGTCTATACAGTTCATGAGCACAGCTTTGATGCATTCTGTAAACATAAGCCCTTTTCAGACATGGGATAAGTAACAATGCTTCATCAGTCTGCTGAAGTGATGACACAGCTTGATTCAGACAAACTCATCCCAGTGATGGAGACAGCCATGATGGTACGGCTGATATTTGTCATACATGCAAAATTGGAGAGTACAGCAATTTGTGCATTGTGATGATCATCTAATTACAACTTTACTAAGAGTAAGATAATTTTAAAAAAGGTCTCAACAGCTGTGATGGAGCTCAGGACTCAATCTGGTACTGTTTTTGGTGTGATGTTGGTGCTCAAATGTAAAAAGAAATCTCCCCAAATGGCTTCTTACTGTTCCAAATAGATCGATTTTGCGTGCCTATCTTTAGTATGACTGGCTGCATGTTAAACTCGTGCTGCAGAAATGTTACTACGTTTAACCGAATGCAGCCGGCTTCACAACTCAGACACAAAAGCCGACACGCTCAGATGCCGTCGGGTTAACGGGAAGCAGCGCGTGTCTGAAAGGGTCTATACAGAGGGTGCTTAAAAGCTTCCAGGTATGTCCATTAAGTGGGACAGATCTTGGCATCTGACAGAAAAGTGAAAAACAGCCTCCTGCTTTGTGAATCAGCTTATTTGCCTCCTTGTTGTTATTATGGGATGCTTTCATTTGCATATCACATCCCAAACTGCTCAAAGTGATCTATTCCTTTCATCATAGAAGTGATTAGAAAATGTCACTGAGCAAAACCCTGTGTCGTGATGATGTGTGTGTGTGTGTGTCGCTGCAGCTGACACGGAGGATGTGTGTATCGTGGAGCGTCTGTTCTCCAGCAGCCTGGTGGCCATCGTGAGCCTGAAGGCCCCGAGGAAGCTCAAAGTCTGTCACTTCAAGAAGGGAACTGAGATCTGCAACTACTCCTATTCTAACACCATACTGGCTGTTAAACTGAACAGACAGGTAGGAAGACGAGTGCGACTTCCTGTCTGTCACATCTCCTTATGTTAAATACGTTACATAGTATTCATGAAGCAACCCTTTCTTTTTTTTTAATCTTAAATATGTCGGTGAGTGAGGTGCTTCAGTAAAATGTTGGCTAGTCTTTCGGCAGCGCTGTTGATGAGGTGTTTTATCTCTGCAGAGACTGATAGTGTGTCTGGAGGAGTCACTTTACATTCACAACATCCGAGATATGAAAGTGCTGCATACGATCAGAGAGACTCCACCCAATCCTTCAGGTGAGTGTCACCAAATGCAGGCATGTCATCTACACGAAACAACAGTAAAGTAAATGGACAGCATCTGTAATTTAATGTCCAAACTAATGACATGATGGGGAAGACTTTTTTTCTTAAACCCTTTATGAGGCAAGTGACCATATTTGGTAACTTCCTTGTCCACCCTCAGCCTCTGCTTGAGGTTGAAGAACCGTGTGCACTTCGATTTAGTTTTTCTATTGGTGTCAATGTCACTACCTTACGAAAAATGTCACTCAACAAATGTTCCAGGCTCTTTATAAACACTTTGTTATTGGTTTGCTTTGAACTTTGATTTATTTTTTGAGAGATTAGTGCCAAAACAACCACCCCAAGACAAATGGTATGAAATGAACTTTATCAACACTTAGTTACTGGTTGTGTGAGTATCATTACCTCAAACTAAAAAGCTTCTAAATAAATGTTTTCTGCAGTTTGTTACTTTTTCTTTTATTTATTATAAATTCCCTTTTTTTTAAACCGTAGACGGGCAAGTTACCATATATGGAAACTTTATTAATCTTGATTTGCAACATTGTTTTTTTTTAAGTCTCAAAAGTAAAAAATATCTTGAACTATCCTTCAATAACACCCTAGGGTTGAAATTTTCCTTTTCCAAGTATTTCAAGGAGGGTCCTATAAAGGGTTAATAGTGTACGCAATCATTGTGAAACCGGAGATGTGTAGTTTCTCTGGTTTTTCAGAATCTGGGTTTCTGTTTCATTTTATCAGTCTTTTGTGAGCAGGGTTGTTTTTGAGCATCATTATTTCCATTTTGTCTGTTGGCCTCAAAGCAAAATGCTGTGGCTGCTGTCTGAGTTCTACGGCATACATGAAACAAGGAAAAATACTCCCACTACCAGAACTATTTAAACTCCTTGTATTTCAGTTAAGGGTTGCTGCTATCGATTATTTTAGTAATCGGTCTGTCTCCGTCTCCATTTTGTGTTACGTTTTTGGCATTACAGCTTTAAAAGTGGAAGTGCAACTGTGCAACAGAAATAACCGTCCGGGAGGAATGCGGGCAGACGTCCGTTCTGTATTATGCATATATCGTATATAGTGGATTAAACAAAGCATTGAGTCAGAGAACTTTGCCTCGAGGCGTTTTAGTAATCGAATTACTGGAGGAACCGTTTCAGCCCCATTTCACTTTATTATTCAGTTGTCAGATTATTTCAGTTACACAGTTTATCTGATGTGTTATTTGATTTGCTGTCAAGTTCAGATAAATGTGGCGTTGTCTGTTTTCTTTGTCTTTCCTTGTAAATTCATTTGTATTTGTGCTCATGTCCCTCCAGGATTGTGTGCCCTGTCCATCAGCAATGATAACTGCTACCTGGCGTACCCAGGCAGCGCTACGATAGGAGAGGTCCAGGTGTTTGACACAGTCAACCTGGTAGGTGAACACAAACATCTCCCCATAACACTATCTTTTTTATAATTAACCCTCAGAACCTGAAAGGCAGGCTCTGTGTCCAAATGCACATCCTGTCTTCTTGGATGAATTACTTTCCAAATATTTATTGCAGACAACAGTAGCGCATTTCAAATAAAACTCGACAAGTTGATATTTTCCAACAACGCCAGTTCCTTGAGTGTGTGATGAAGTGTCAACAAGTCCCTGAATGTTTGTCATGTGACTGTTGGTCACAGCTTAGTCAGTCATGGCCTCTCAGTTGCGCTGAGAAGTGACGATTTCTTTGTTTTTTTTCACAGAATCTGTTGCAAACTGAGAGATGTAGAGTACAGTGATTTTGATAAACCAGTTTCTGGCTGGTAAATGGGGTGATTTGGGTGATTTTATTTTAAAGAAAAGCTGTCTCTCATACATCTGCAATTAATAATCTTTACTCACTTCTTCATGTTTTACTGTTTCTCTCGATTTCTATATCAGGCCACAAAACAGTAGGAAGTGTAGCTGTGGTCTGGTTTTTATTCTAAGACTCCTTAATCATCTGTCAGCTTGTGTTTCAGTTGTTTATCCGTCTTTCTGAAGTAGCGCATCTCTCACTGCTGTGTCTTTTCAGCGAGCAGCAAACATGATTCCAGCCCACGACAGCCCACTAGCAGCTCTGGCTTTTGATGCTAGTGGAACCAAACTGGCCACAGCCTCAGAGAAGGTAGGGCCTGTTGTTGTCTGTGTGGCTGATTTCATTTTCCACCTGAGCTGACAAGGATTCTTGTTCTTGCTACCTTTTCAAGAGTTTCATTTCTCTGTGCATCCTCGCTTTCTCCCAGGGCACAGTCATTCGCGTCTTCTCCATCCCGGAGGGACAGAAGCTCTTTGAGTTTCGACGAGGAGTCAAGAGGTAGAGAAGTGGCGTGTTGTGTTCATGTGCTGCTTACATTTGTGTTCAACGCCTCCTTTACACGCGTGTTTCTCTGCTTCCCGTCTCAGGTGTGTGAGCATCTGTTCGCTGGCGTTCAGTATGGAGGGCCTGTATCTCTCTGCCTCCAGCAACACAGAGACAGTCCACATCTTCAAACTAGAGACACAGAAGGAGAAGTATGTGTAAGTACGGCGCTCTCCTGAGAACGCTTCTGTCATTTAATTAATTCCTTCAAGCATTCATTAAAGAGGAGACAGGAATATGCAGAATTAGGAAGTTAAAAGTCGACAATACTCAGCAGCTGTGTTTTTATATAACTGTAACTTGTGTTATAAGCAAATATGAAATGAGCTTTTGAAATATGAAAACGATGTTGATCCACAGTATCTACACTCGTCTCACGTTGTGTGTCTGTGTGTGTGTTCAGGCCAGCGGAGGAGCCCACCACATGGGGAGGTTACCTGGGAAAGATCTTGATGACATCCACCACCTATCTGCCTTCCCAGGTCACGGAAATGTTCACCCAGGGGCGAGCCTTTGCCACCGTACGTCTGCCTTTCTGTGGACATAAGAACATCTGCGCCTTAGCTGTGTAAGTATGCACACGAACACAACACTCAACAGCTGGCCAGTATCTGTTTGTCTATGCATCTGTGTTTGAAACATGGCAAAACATGACAGTAGAAAAAAGTTAAAAGAAGATTGGAAAACATTGTCAGGTGGCTATTTCCTCAGCTCCTCATGTGACGAAGAAATGTCATTTAACAGGAGCAGGAGGTCAAGAAGAGTCGGTAAACCTTATGATGTCTTGTAGGATCGCTAGAAAGGCAAATCAAAATCCATGTTTGACTGCAAGCAGCTTCAGGAAGATTTATCTGACTGAAGTTCCACTGTGCAGAGACACCTGCACAAACATCACCTCATTAGAAGGAAACCTTTCCAGCATCCTCACTGCAAAACTCGGCTTCAAAAGTTTTGCAAACAAACATCTCAAGAAGCCTGATACAGTTTGGAAGCAAGTCCTGCAGACTGATCAGGTTGAAGTAGAACTTTCTGACTGCATTGGGCAATAAAGGTGCAGCATAAGTGTGATTCCATCAAACTTTGGGCTTGTGCCGACAGTGTCACAGGAAACACTGTACTGGTCGAGGGAGGAATGAATTTAATGAAATAGCAGCAAATTCTGGAAGCAAACATGACGTTCATGAAAAAGATGAACTGAAAAGCTCTTGACCAATCCACAATGGACCACATCAAGCTGAAGGGTTTGCCACGGTCCTCACAGTCCGTAGTCTCTGACCACAATGCCATTAAATATCTGTGAAGAGCCCTTTAAAGGGAACCACATGCAAAACCAAAGACCAGTTAACCTCACAGAAGTAGAATCCTTTAGCAGAACAAAATTGATTAAAAAGAAACCTCCACAAACTCTTCATGTCGATCTGTCTTGTGCTTTTCATTCACTTTGCATTGTGCTTATATTTACCATGTAATTCGTCATATTTATTCATTTTAATGACGATTTTTGTGAATCTCTATTGTTTTAAATTAGGATTCAGAAGATCCCCAGGTTGTTGGTGGCAGCGGCCGATGGCTACCTGTATCTGTACAACCTGGATCCACAAGAAGGAGGAGAGTGTACACTTATGAAGCAGCACAGGTAATATCCACACAGAGGACACACACGACCAACGTGACAGGTTAAGGGTAATGATCACAACTCAGTAACAACGATTACCAGAAGCTCTGTAGAAACTAGTGACTGTATTTTTGAGATAAAACTGAGAGTTTCTGCCACTGACCTCAGGTTAGACGGCACTGCGGAGCCGCCCAATGAGATCCTTGAGCCGGGATCGCATGATCGCCCGCTTGTGACCCAAACCTACAGTGCTGCCGTCACTAAAGGTTGGTCGCACGAACGGTTCAACGTAACGGTTTATTTTACAGGTCCCTATGTTCCTCATCATTTCATTTAGCATCACATATTACACTGGGTCACAAAAAATGCTTTTTTGAAGGTGTCTAGGATTTTTTAACTGATTGAGGACATTTTTGCAACACTGAATCCAAACATGACATCTGCTTTTCTGTATCAGGTCAGGATTTTATGTCGACTTGATTTAAAAAAAAATAATTTTACCACCAAATCAATTACATCTTTTGACATTAGCGATTGATTTATTTTATGAAATCGGATTTTAGAGGGAAAATTTCATTTTCTAATCCTTTTCATCAGCTAAATGATCCAAAAGTTGATGAGAGTAAACATTTGTAAAGGTAAATACAAGTAAATTGCATATTTCATCAAATCAGAAGTTTGACCTCACTGAGCAAAACCAGCTCAAAAAACTATTGACACCAAAATGGGTGTAGACCAGTGTGATATGTGTAGTTGTCTTGTAATGTCAGTCTGATTACCAAGGCAATAGAGACGAAGTTCTGGGACAGTTACTTGATTTTAAAGTGAAAATCCAGCTCAGTTCAAATCGCAGTAAATCTTCATTCTTGCTTCATTTGTTGTTGGGAAACATACAGTGTACAACAGTGGTGAGTACACCTCTGTGCAATATCCCTCACTCGTCAGATGAGTGACAGTTGCATTATTTCCAAGTTGAACAGTAGAGTATTTCCTCTTATGTGAAATTAGAAACTAACCCTTTTAATTTAAGTAATATAGATTTAATATATTTAAAATACACCAAAGCATGAGCTATGAGATATTACTTTTACTGAGATTTAAATCCTTTGTTTTTTCCATCCTTCATCGGTCCTCCTGTATTATTGACGACAGACTCAGACCTCCTCAGCATGAAGGATACCGGTCTGGCTCAAATTTCTGGACAGATGTTCTCTCATTATTTAAAGACAGTTACTTTCAGCAGCGCTTTGCTGGAAAGGTTGCTTTTGGTCTACATTACTCTGTAAAACACCTGATGAAGAAAGTCATTCTCTCTTCTTTGGATGGTCACCAAACCCCCGATTCCACCACCTTCTGTTCATTGTTCTCCTCCCTCCTGTCGTTGATTAGCAACTGTATGCTAGCTAACCACTAAGCACTTCGATATTTACATAGCAACTCTATGCTAACAAACCACTATTCACTTCCATATTTACATATCAACTGTATGATAACTAACCACTATTCACTTCGACGTTTACATACAGGCCCTCCCTACCCTCTGGCCCGTCCTATGAAATGCGTAACACTGCAAATGTTCTGGGGGTTGGTGAGCCCACCGTCTACTGGAATACTAACAAACACCCACTGCAGCAAGCTTCACATGAGGACCATGGGGAAAGTTTCTTCAACATACCCCAAAAGTGTTCAACTAGATTCAAGTCAGACGACACACTCGTCCAGGTCACGGTTCCTACATCTGTCTTCTTTGGAAACTCTTGCGTGCTTTCGATCTTCATCATGCTGGAATATTACTCATCTCTCAACCCTCTGCAGACGAAGAGTCATTGTATTGTGGTTTATCTCCAAGCATTCATGGTGACATCTACCAATGTCATCGCCCCGACACATTTTACACCCTTGCAGCTCCGTATCATCGCACTCCCACCTCTGTGCTTCTCTGTCAGGACTGAGCGTTCACTGTGGTGGTCCTGGTCGGGTTCACACCAAACATGCTGGACTCCATCTGGGCCCATCAAATGTATCTGGATCTCATGTGACCAAAGAATGTGGTCCCTTTATTCAACGGGCTTCTTCTCTTGGTCTTCGGCAAAGTTTTTTAATTATTGTTTTGGATCCCAGATGTAGCGGTTTCATTGATGCGCTGCCTGAGTCGTCATAGAAACTCTTGTTTTCCCTTTTTAGCCGCTGTGCTAAGTTAGAAGCACTTTTTCTGCTTTTCAGAGCTCGATTGTAAAAGTAACGCACCATCTGTACCCGCTACAGTTCTGGTTAGTGGTACTACGATTAGTTCTACACCTCCTGATTACTGCTGCCGCTGTGGTTCAGCTGGTTTACAGTCGGTCACTTATCTTCCTGCATCCTTTTTCATCTTTGGGAAGTGTCACAATTGATTCTTTTCTATGTGGAGCCACGATGCAGACATGCAGATGGGCTCATGTCATGGGTCCAAAACTAGAAAAGCTCTGCCGTTCACAGCTCAATTTGTAACCATGTTCATGTAGCTGTGCTAATAGAAAATCATAGGTGTCCTTTATTTTGTTTCAGGGATCACGTTTTCTAACTTGAATGACATTAATCACAAGTTTCATGCTTTAAGGTCCTGTGTTGGGGCTTGAATTTCCAATATAGTCTTTATAAAGTATTGTTTTTATTGTTCAAAGGACAAAATACTCTACTATTCAACTTAAACTTTTGAATAATCTGCCGGTTCATTGATACTGCATAGAGGCGCAGTCACTTTTTTATGTATGTTGTATGTTGAATTTTACGCTTGTGTGTCGACGTGTTTAATTTTTAGGGCTTGTCCGAATAGCATTGTCTGGGCTCCGGATATTTGGGGCCATTTAATGACGAATATCCGAATATTTGGTCCGAGGGGTATTGGCAGCGGGTGCTGGGTGACAGGCAAATATTCGGATCTCAAAATTGTTATCTGGAAACCATCACAACAAAAGAATATTCGGATATGCGGAGGTTCGGGTCCAGCCCTAATAATTATCACCCAATAATGGCATTTTCTAGAAAACCTGCCAGACCTGCTGAATAAGCCTTGACTAAGTTTCTTTCTTAACGTGGTGTCGTGCAAGTTCAGTGGTTAAACTATCCAGAAGAACATTTAACGTTTGCAGCAGCATAGAAATCTATTCTGAACTCGTTTGTTTCAGCATCTGACTCTGAATCTCTCGTTTTCCAGGTTACTGCGAAGAACAGGGTGCGGTGGGGGGTGCGGGACTTGAAGATGACCTAAACGACTTACGCTTAGAGGAGGAGAACGAGCAGCCGCCACTCATCCTTGAAACTGACTGACTTAGCGGTTGGCCGTACCCACCAATCAGAGGGCTCCTCTGGTGCTGCTACAAACACGTGACACAAGGGGGGCAGGGACAGGATCGAAGATGGAAAGTGTTTTTGGTTTTTTTTTTGGTTTATTTCGTTTGTTTTTTTTTTTACACTCGAAGTGTTGAAGAGCCTGTCTGTCAGTCTATCTGTGCGTTTGTCTGTACACATACATGTCTATCTTTTTTTTTTTCTTCCCTCCTTTCTCCTTCAGTTTCGCCTGTGCGGGTCAAACTGACGCTTTGCATGTACATGTGCCAACCGCTGAAAACATGCTCCAATGTGAAAACGAGTATCTGTGAATGTGAGTGTGATCCAAAACATGTAGCTGTGTCTCTTCTTAAGACACACACACACACACAGATGCAAACACTGTGTAAAATGAAAGTGATTGTGTAAGTGCCTCTCTGCCCCAGTGACATGGTTGTCTTCTTTTCTGAGAGGGAGGGTGAGGGGGGGGGGGATCTCTTTGCATTGGCTTAATAAAATCTATTTTCAGTTGTCTGATCTTAATCGAGGGTGTGTACTATCTTTTCTGAACCCTTTCCTCTCTCACACGCGGTCAGAACGCCGCCCTGCGACGAGCGCGGCATCCGTCGAGTTTACCCTTAAAAGTAAAGATTGGGAAGCTTGTGGCACGAGGCCGAGGTGTTTGCGTAAAAAGGACTGTGTGTCTGTGCGCTTGAGACCCGATTTGTGTGTGTGTGTGCATGTGCTGGGCATGTACATTCTGCAGAAACATCTAGTAGTTCGCTTCCACTTCCCCGTGCACTTTTACCTCAACCAAACAGCGGCTCAGTGAACCCTCCCCGTCCTCTTCCTCCCCTCGCCCCCCCTTCGTCAGGCCTGATCATGATTTTAAACTCTGATATTATTGATCTTTTTTTTAAATCTACATAACTAATCATAACCAATGATGTGTCATGCGTATGAAAACATGCATGGTGGTTTTCTCGTGGTACAGTGTCCATACATCAAAGACATGGCGATGATCAGTTGAGAAAAAGGCAACGATGAGTCCTCGTCTTACTCCTCATCCTACTGTATCTCTACTTTGTATGTTACTAGACGTGGCAAGATATCACTGTACCATATTGTCGGGTCCTGGCTTTCGAGGCTTTGCACTCTGGGATTAGTTTGGACTGAACTGTGGATTGTAAAACGATCGATCTGGAGGTCAGGCTGAGCCTCATCAAGTGGTCCAGGATGCTGCATGATTTCCCAGGAATCCTTTGGTATTTGAAGCTAACAAACGAGGATTAACAATGGGAGTGTGGAGTGTCAGGCATTTTCTAATGATTTTGTACAAAATGTGAAACATTCATCTGAAACTAAAATGAAAATAAATTCCATGTTGATGTACGAGATAGGCGCCTCCTGTTCTTGTTGCACTGACTGCTGCATTTCACTCACTATGTAAAGCACTTGGGATAACACTCCTCGCTCTTATAAAATGAAAAAGATGAACTAAACGCCTGGATGTGTTCCAATCAGTGATGTTTGTCTACATATGGTTGAAGGTTTCATCCCACAGAGGGCAGAGCAGCAGGTTTTGTGATTCAATGCGGAATTTATGTGTAAGTTATTAATCCATCCATCCATTATCTACACACTGCTTAATCCTCACTAGGGTCATGGGGGGCTGGAGTCTATCCCAGCTGACTCAGGGTGAAGGCAGGGGACACCCTGGACAGGTCACCAGTCTATCACAGGGCTACACTTAGAGACAGACAACCAAGCACACTCACATTCACACCTGCGGACAATTTAGAATCACCAGTTAACCTCACTGGGCTGTGTGGGAGGAACCTGGACAGAACCACGCTGCACGGAGAGAACATGCAAACTCCACACAGAAAAATCCCAGGTGTCCTCACCGGGACATGAACCGGCAACCCTCTAGCTATTTTGTAAATTCAAAAACCACTAAAAGTAAAGGATCAACCAACACTGAGTGTCATGTGGCCCAGAGTGAAGCCTTTAACTTCCTGCAGACTCCAGGCAGGAGATTATAACAAAGCGCATCTTACTATATGTAACTAGTCTCTAAAAGCGTGGTTGCTTAGAGATCTCTTGCCTGACTGTAGGAAAACTAAATTCATCCTTTCCTGAGCCTGTTCTGAAGACAGACACACAGTGATAGTGAATCGCCATCACAGCAACATCTCCTGGCAACAGCAAGCCTTCGACTTTCACAAACTACTCCGAGTAGACAGACAAGATCCTCGTCAAGTTTGGTCAGTGGAGTTATAAGACTTTGCTGAAGCGTATCAGTGAATCACTCCAGTTTTCATCTTACGCTGTTGTCATGACAACACAACATTCACAATGAAACATGAAGCTGCTGTTCATCAAATGCCTGAAAACTCTATAGAAGTGTCACCAAAAAAAATAAATAAAGCTTTTTTTTCTGTGTGAATAATGGTGACATTACGTGTCCTGTAACATTTCACTAAAGTAGCTCTTGTGTAATATTTCAAGACAAACAAAAACTAGGCCTCTTGTAACCAAACCTGAACTCCTCCTGGATCATCAACCAGAGCAGCTTCAGATTTTGTTGCTAAAGTTTATTGTAATTATCTTATGTGGATCCAAACTCCTCATGTTTGACACAAATCCATTACTGGACACAAGTCGACGTTTAGCTACAGTCATGCCAACTATCAATGTGACAAACATCTTTTGATTTAACTGAAGTTTACATGCTGGGTTCTACACATGATACACAGCAACATAATGTGTAGCTGTTGTTCTCCAGCAGGACACGGTGGACACAGGAAGTGATGTAAAACATGCAATGCATCATGTGCACCATTAGTAGTGACTAATAGACATGACAGGGCAACGTGGTGTCACCCAGCATCCTACCAGTAGCCTCGACATGTACAGAGGTGAAAGAGCCCCATTATCGCTGCTTGTGGCTTTGATTTAAGGCTTTTTCTGTCACTGACCATCTGTACTAACATATTAATGTGAATGAAACCTGGGAGATCAGAGCACCTGGACAAGACTCTAATCTGATGAAGAAGGACATTCTTTTATTTTGATGATGATGAAGAAAATCATTCTCTTTTCTTTTGATGGTCACCAGACCCTTGACTCCACCCCCTGCTGCCATGTGTTTTTCCACCACCTTTTGTCATGTGTTTTCCCCCCTCCTGTCACAGACCCCCGACTCCACCCCCTGTTGTTCATTGTCCTCTTACCTCCTGCCATTTGATTAGCAACTGTATGTTAACGAACCACTATTCACTTCTGTATTTACATTCAGCCCCCTACCCCCTCAGTTAATTGTTTTTTTTGCTACTTGGGGTTCAACTAACTGAACTGATAAACAGCATTTTACCTTTTAGGTTGATGTTCTTTGCAAAGAGTTGATGCAGAGCAGCATTAGCGCTGATTTGGTCGTGTCTGGTGCATCACTGTGGCTTTATTACTGCAAAAACCAACTTGTTAAAACAGTGACTATGAACCAAAACAGCAACCTGGGCCATAAAACTAAAACAATGACCTCTGATAATTCTCTCTTCTTTAAGTTTTAATGTAGAAATATTGATTGGAGCAACTTTAAATGGAATCTGCAGGTCACTTAACAGTTTTATATGTAGAAATATATTCCACGTGATCTCATGTAAAACTAAGACAGGACAGCGACTGTATTATTATGAGGTGGTTATTTTCTCTTATTTTACAGTATTTTTTTTTCTTTTTTTCTTTCCGTGTATTCAATATAAGGGGCGTAAAATCGAAAAAAGCAAGAAAAGTACTTGTAATCTATCACATATTACCCCATTTGTTTCTGTCTCCTATTAGTGATGCTGGTCTCGTATAATCAAGGGAGCAACTGTCAGTTAAAGTTTATTTTATAGTATCTTTCTCATGCAAATGCTTTAATAACAATAATAATAATATTGACAATAATAATAATAAGAGCCTCTTTGCCACTTGCTTTATTATTATTGTTTTATATATTATTTTTTGGGGCCTTTTTGGACCGGTCAGTAGAGAAGGGAAGGCAGGAAAGTAGGGAGAAGTACCTGCAGTAAACCCATGGCAGCTGCATCGGGGACTACAGCCCCTGTTTATGGGTGACCCGCTCAACCTGCTGAGCTACTGGGCCACTTGCTTTATAAAGACTTTGCAGCAGGACACACACACACACACACACACAAAGGTGCGATCTCTATCTTTGAGAACAAAGCTTTACCTTCTCCAGTGCAAATACACCAACGCCGAGTCGTCACAGACACCAAAATTCTCTCACACTTACGAATAAACAGTATTGCTTCCTAAAACCTTCACAGAACTATGGCAGCACCCAAAACACTTGCAGAATACACTGAAAGCCTCCTGACAGCACAACATCCTCAGCTTTAACTGAGGTTAAGTAAGCAATCCTAAGACTGCACTGATTAAGACTCTGGGTGATGTTAAACACTCATTAAGACGTTTCTAACAGCTCCCTCTGGGCCTTTTTCAGGCTTTACTCAGCACGTCTGAGCTCACATTTCCTCAGTGAAGCGTCCTCTGCAGGGGTGAATAGATGTTCGTCACTGTGGGAGCGCAAAGACAAAGCTGATGAATATTGTATGTGTCAGTGTGTATACATGCTTCCCCTGTTGTGTTTACAAGCCACATGTAAGCAGTGTTGTTTGCCCTCGACCCCGCCGGTCCTCCACTAGACGGCTTGGTGACCTGGACCATCTCAACGTTCCTGCTGCTCATTTTATTTAAGGCCATCTCTGCTTTTTCACTTCCGATCGCTCCTCCTGTATTAAGACAGGCTGCCTGCTCCACCTACAGCGACACTAACACACGTCTTAGTATTGAATTAAAGTGCAATCAGCTGTTTCAAGTGTTTTTAAATCATCTTCTCTTAATTGTTTTTCTGAATCTTTTGTTTCTGCTGTTCTGTTGATTTTCGACCCGACTGCTGCCTTTGACAAACAAATGCAGAATGTCCCCTTCACTTGTTTTACTTTACATTTTTGGCCTCATAACAATGCTTGAAATGCCTGAAATCATGCATCTGTTGGTCTTAAAGCTACTTTTCATTTTAGCATTTTTAAAACCTTCAGGAACTCATTGTTTGGGTTTTACATTTCTATTCATTTACCTCAGTACGTTATTTGGAATGTAAACTGGGGCAGAAAACACTGTGAAACATTTTCTATTCAAAGCAATTTCCAGGTCTTCAACGTTAAGTTCCTTGGATGGGCCTGGAACATAACATAACATCACAGCAGCCGGCCTGAACGTAGCCAGTAGAGGGCGACGACGCTTCGCCCAGAAACTGATTCCTGGTTTTCATGTGAACATGTCTTGAGTCGAAGGAATATATTGGACATGTTTTCTTTTTTATGTGATGTTTTAGGTTTAAATCTGATGAGTGGTGAGAAGGTGAGAGAAGATCTGTGAAAATCAGCTGATATTTTCACTTAAATGTGGTTTAGAGGCTTGTTTTAGACAAGCATCTGGATTATAATCAACATCAAACCATAAAATAAACTCTCCACTTCTCTCTTCAATGACCTCTTCCAGGCTGAGCTGCTCCCACTGTTGCTGTCGTCAATTTTTCTTGGTATGTCACTGATACACAGTTTGGAATGTGTGTTACATATTTTTTGTAATATCAATAAAACATACGTGACTGATTTTAACACCAAATGATTGTTCTTGCACTTTAATTTAACGCCAATGAAAATATGGTATTGTTTGATGAAATGATGACCTCTAGTGGTCAGAAACAAACTTACACATTTTTATTGGGTGGATAAATACTGATAAATACTGTTATTACTGTTATTAATACTGTTGCTATTGTTACGGGTCAGATTATCAAGTCACAACTGTATATATATATATATATATCAAGCAAACAACAACAGACTAAATGTTTTCTGAAAAATCTACAAAAATGGAATTCTGTTTTTGGAAATTAACTCTTCATATGTAAAGGTACATAGCTTTGTCTTAGTGTAGATACATGAACAAACATCTGTTGCTGTTGAGCTTTCTCATCCTGAAACAACCCCAAAAATGCAAGAATTCTGGACTGTGCAACTATCAGGAAACTCATACCAGAGTCGGATCTACCACCCTCAGATCAGGAGGACAAAACGTACCAACAATGCACGAACGGAAACAACATACTCAAGCTCGGTGGTTGTGGACTTGTTAGGTTCAAATATCCAGCAGTGCTGTCGAGCATTTTATGACCTTTTCTATCCTGGAGGAGACTCTCCCTCCTCAGACTGACACAGAGACGCTGAAGCACCGGATGCAGACGCTGACCTAAACCTGAACGCAGGGTACAGAGGCTCGGTGAACGTGGTGTTGAAGGTGTGGAGGTGGATCAGAGTGCCGGAGGAGACTCTGTAGAAGGACACAGAGCCAGCAGGCCAGTCCAGATACACTGCTACTCTGCCCGAGTCAAAGGAAGACGGAGCCCGTATGTCTGTTGTTCTCTTATTGTGGCAGGCAGAGTAACCGTTGGCGGAACAGAACAGACCCCAGGACTGGTCGTTCTCTCCGACGCAGCTGTCGCCATCCTGCCCTTTCCTCTTGATGCCTCCATACGTCACGCCGATGTTGACCCATCCTTTCCACTCCACCTCCCAGTAGCAGCGCCCACTCTGGCCTTCTCTGCACAGAACCTGCTTCCAGTGGTTGAATCTGTCTGGGTGTTCGTCGTAGGGCTGCTCCTCCGTCACCGCCGTCACCTTCCTGCCGTCTTCGGACAGAGAGAGCTTTGTGTTTGCTGTGTTTGGGTCCAGCGTGAGTTCACAGGCATCTGATGAGGAGATGAAGAATAAGAACAGAACTTAACCCGACGTGTTCTGGTTGGGTCATTATTGATTTGTTGCTTGATTAGTAGGTTTACTCTGCAGAGCTGGTTGTTTGCTGTGATGGTTTACACATTTTTTGTAGTAAATCTTATAAATCTCTTCCTGATTTCATTCAAATCTGATGAACATGCACGATTCAGTTTATGCTCACCGCGACTAAACTATGTCGTTTAAAATCTGGGTTTGAAACATCAGCGAGGCCAAATCCAATTAAATGCACATTCACCTAAACAAACTTTTATTCTCATTACATCTCACACAAATCCAACATGTGCAGCATGTTTAATACTCTCTGCTCCTGTACTGTTTTGTCTAATAGATATTATTACTTGATAGCATCACAAGATCTCAACTTACACTTGAAGGGTTTCAAGTGTTGCCGTCCACCATGGTCCACGCTGTGGGAGAAGTGAAACAAGAAATATTGGGGGGAGAAAAAACAAACAAGGAGGTAAATCTATGCACTCTGAATAAGCAAACACTGTCCATGAATCTATTATTAACCTACCGCAGAGTGTCCAGTCTCCACTGTGGATCCTTCAGTCCGGCAGACAGCAGCTTCACTCCGGAGTCTCCTGGATGGTTGTAGCTCAGGTCCAGCTCTCTCAGATATGACGGGTTGGCACTCAGAGCCGCGACCAGAGCAGCACATCCTTCCTCTGTGACCAGACAGCCCGACAGCCTGAACGCATAATGCATGTGTTACACTCGTATACGTAGGAAGTGACAGGTGGCTTGTGATAAGACAGGATCATGCTGGTAATACAGAATGTTGTTTCTATTTGATATTGGGATCTAATTTGCATCATAAAATCTCACTTCTGTGTTCCATATAGATTTTATACATCGTCTCAGAGGCTTCCATCAGTCAAGAAAATTGATTACCGGACAAGACAAACTTTGACATTGGTAAATCCTCAACACAATGTGACCTACAGTGGATTTATAGTTAGATTGTGGTGGAGCTACAGTGTCTACTGTTAGAGTCAGTGCAGCCCACACAAATGTCCTGCACCCTAAAATATCCATCCATCATCTATACACCGCTTAGTCCTCACTAGGGTCGTGGGGGGCTGGAGTCTATCCAGCAGTGACACCCTGGACACCCAGTCTATCACAAGGCTACACTTAGAGACAGACAACCAAGCACACTCACATTCACATCTACAGACAATTTAGAATCACCAATTAACCTCAACATGTTTTTGGACTGTGTGCCCCCCACAAGGACACGAACTGGCAACCTTCTTGCTGCAGTGCTAACCACCAAGCCACCTTGCAGCCCACCTACAAATATAACTAGACTTATTTATTTAACTTTTATTTAACCAGGTTAAGACCCATTGAGGTCCAGGATCTCTTTTAAAAGGGTGACCTGGCCAAGAAGGTAGCACTTAAGGGTAAGGGAGTCTATAACGTTAGTATGTGGACAGCACAAGAACTGTGATTGGTCAGTGTTAGCTGTGACTTATGAGGCAATTAAAAAAAAACAAAAAACAACAACAACAGAAAGTTTTTGTTTCTCCATCACCAGGCCAGAGCAAGATTTTTTTTAGACTCTTGCAAAAGTTGAAAGAACATAACATCCTCATTACACTGAGTCAGTAAATAGTGATATTATTGAAGCTGTTCTAAACTCAGTAACTGCAACTCTAAATTGTGATGCAACAAAACTGAAGCACAACAACGTGCACATGCATTTTAATCTTAACAGTATTAGGCAGCCTCTTCAGTGCATATAAATGCTTAAGAAACCCTTTATAAATAGTGACAGGTTACATTTTAATTACAAATACAGCCCAGCACAGGAACCTCTGGGGTGGGATTTCTTTTTCCAGACACTGTTGAGAAACACACACACCCAGAAAAGATATCGGCAGTGTTCACCACATTTCCCCTCTCTATATCACAGTGAAGGACTCCACCCATCCCACACACAGACTGGTTCAGCCCCTCCCCTCAGGCAGGCGGCTCAGGAGCATCCAGAGCAAAACCACCAGGCTCAGAAACAGCTTCCTCCCTGAGGCTGTCAGACTGCTGAACTCGAGCCGTGCTCTGTAGCCTCACACCACCATCACACACTGACTGCACCAACTGCACTATTAAACACTTTCATCCATAAACATGCAATATTTTAAACCCCTAAGTGCAATATTATATTACAGTCTACCTCACTGCTACACATATGTTCAGTGCTTGAGTGCAAAATATCAGTCTAGTGTGATATCAACTGGGAACATGTGATGCTGAGCTGTTCATCGGTATCTAGTTTCAGGTGGTATCTGTGTGGGACGTCCAGAAGAAACAACCATGAAAAGATGTTAAGACTTAACGAGAAAACAAATAAGTCTACAAAAGTCTTAAAGTCAGCCGAAAAGAAATGTGGAAAAGGTGTAACCTGAGATTTGTCCCATTACACGCCCATCCACCACCCCAACCTCCACCACCTCACTTTTTGTGCCACTACATAAAGCGCAGACTTTTACTGGCATTATCCAGTCTGAGCTCAATACTTAGCGATGCCACGAACATATCTGTGAGGAGACCAAACTCTGAATGCTGATCAAAGAATCGACTTTACAGACCGTAAAGTTTCCAGTCTACAGTGTGGACTTGCGAGGCCAGTAGCGAGCAGCTTGACTCCTGAGTCCTGCAGGTCATTGTTGCTGAGGTCCAGGCCCCTCAGACTGGAGGACGGCGAGCTGAGAACTGAGGCCAAATCTTCACAGCTTTTGTCTGACAAGTTACAGCCGCTCAACCTGACAAGAAAAACGCAAATTAGATACACCAAGTACACAATGAACTACAACGGAGAAATATCACTAAATTGACAGCAGTGAATGTGTTTGTGGGACAAACTGCAAAGTACTTTATAAACTCAGTCCAACTGCAGTCCAAAGTTGGACAGATTTCCATACCCGTCCACCACCCCAACCTCCACTCCCTTACTTTTTCCATCACTACATAAAGGGCACATTAATTCCTGTGCTGGCACTGAACATTAACACTGGACATTAACTGTTATCTACAAAGGGGTATGCAGGCTACAGCCAGATGTGCCCATCCACCACCCCAACCTCCACTGTCTCACTTCTCATTTTCACTAAATAAATGAAACACGACTTTCTTTATTGGCATTGTCCAGTCTGAACATAACTCCTTGTTATTCCTAGTGTGATTCAAGCACATCTGTGAAACGGCAGAACTGTGAAAACTAAAGAATTTACAGAAAACTCTACTTCACTGATCTCATACTGAGCTGGTTCATGACTACCAACCGTAGAGTTTCCAGTCTACCATGTGGACTCCACTGTCCAACGAGCAGTTGCTTCACTCCTGAATCCTGCAGGTCGTTGTTGCTCAGGTCCAGCTCTCTCAGACGTGAAGACTTGGACATAAGAACCTGGACCAAAACTTCACAGCTTCTCTCTGTCAGCTTACAGTCACTCATCCTAAGAAGCATTTGTGACAGAAAAAGAACATTTGACAATGACTGCATTTTCTCACAAGGTGAGAAAAGACTACAGTTGATATAGTAAGTCTACAGAGTAAACCTACAGGCATATTCTGGAAGCTTTGACCACTTGCAGCAGCATCAGGAGACCTTCCTCTGAAGCAGAGTACTCTCTCAGATCAAACACATCCAGGTCTTTTTCTGAAGACAGGAGGATGAAGACCAGAGCCGACCACTGACCTGCAGACGGTTTGTTTGTGGAGAAGCTTCCTGAACTCAGGGACTGTTGAATCTCCTCCACCAGAGAATGATCATTCAGCTCGTTCAGAAAGTGGAACAGATTGATGCATCTCTCTGGAGATGGATTCTTCCTGATCTTCTTCTTGATATATCTGACTGTTTCCTGGTAGCTCTGTTGGCTGCCTCCTGATTGGGTCAACAGGTTTTGTAAAAGGGTCCAATTGGTGTCCCATGCGAAACCCAAGAGGAACCGAAGAAACAAGTCCAGGTGTCCGTTTGAACTCTCTATGACCTTGTCCACAGCACTTTGGTAGAGGAGGCTGACTTTTGATTTCTGTCTTAACCGTAGAGACCCGTAGGACTTTGACTGTGACTCCGACAGCAAGTTGACACCAGTGTTGACGAATGTCACAAAGACATACAGAGCAGCCAGAAACTCCTGAAAGCTCAGATGAACAAAGCAGAACACTTTGTCCTGGTGCAGCCCACACTCCTCTTTAAAGATCACTGTGAGCACCCCAGAATACACCGACGCTCTGATATCGATGCCACACTCTTTCAGATCTGATTCATAAAAGATTAGGTTCCCTTTCTGCAGCTGCTCAAAAGCCAGTTTTCCCAGAGACAGAATCATCTTGCAGGTTTCAGGGTTCCAGAGTGGATCTGTCTCAGACGCTCCACGATATTTAACATTTCCTATTTTGGACTGACCCACTAGGAAGTGGATGTACATCTGAGTCAGGGTCTTGGGTAACTCGCGTCTCTCGTCTGCTCTCAACACATGGTCCAGAACCGAGGCAGTGATCCAGCAGAACACTGGGATGTGACACATGATGTGGAGGCTTCGTGATATCTTAATGTGGGAGATGATTTTGCCGGCCTGCTCGTCCTCTCTGAATCTTTTCCTGAAATACTCTTCCTTTTGGGTATCACTGAACCCTCTCACCTCTGTCACCACGTCAACTAACTCAGGAGGGATCTGATTGGCTGCTGCAGGTCTTGTGGTTATCCAGAGGCGAGCAGAAGGAAGCAGCTTCCCCCTGATGAGGTTTGTGAGCAGCACATCCACTGTGGAGGCTTTAGTCACATCAGCCAGGATCTCATTGTTGTGGAAGTCCAAAGGAAGGTGACACTCATCCAGACCGTCAAAGATGAACACAACCTGGAACTGGTCAAATCTGCATATGTCTGCTTCTCTGATCTCAGTGAAGAAGAGATGAAGAAGGTCAATCAAGCTGTACTTTTTTCCACTCAGTAAATTCAGCTCTCTGAAAGTGAATGGAAACACGAACTGAATGTTGCGGTTGGTTTTGTCTTCGGCCCAGTCCAGACTGAACTTATGGGTTAGGACGGTTTTCCCAATGCCAGCCATTCCTTTCGTCAGCACGGTTCTGATTGGTCGATGATCTCTGCCAGGTAAAGGTCGGAAGATGTCGTCACATTTAATCACATCTTCTGGTCTGGATTGTTTCCTGCAGGCCGTTTCAATCTGCCTGATCTCGTGTTCGTCGTTGACCTCTCCACTCCCTCCCTCTGTGATGTAGAGCTCTGTGTAGATCTCATTCAGAGGCGTCGGGTTTCCTGCTTTAGCGATTCCTTCATACAAACACTGGAACTTCTCTTTCAGACTGGCTTTGAGCTTGCTCTGGCACACGGTAACAAGAGTTCCTACACAGAGAGATAACAAATAAAATGGTATTAGAATGGTTACAGCACGCACCGATCAGCTCGCCTACGTTCAGCATTGCTATTGAGATGATTTCATTACTTTTAATGCAAACCACACAACTCAGTCATCTACAAACACACCGACACCACATTATCCACTGACACTGCATTCATTCTTTCTAATCAGAAGCTGTTTAAAACTTTGATCAACCCCTGAGGAAAGCTTTATTCCGGTTAGGAAATCGCTATCACGGAAAAACACTCACTGCTCTGCAAACAGTCGGCCGTCTCCTCCAGCTTCATGCTCCTCAAGAAGTGCAGCGTGATCCTCAGAAGGGCTTCTCTGCTGCTATTCCTTCGTTTTTCTTCCTCACCATCCACCTCCTCCTCATCCTCCGCCTTCCATCCTCGTGAGCACTCTGGGTAATCTGGCTGAAGAACCTCCTGGAACTTTTTCAGCTCAGTCTTCACAAAAGTGAAGATGCTTTCCTCAAGCCGCTGGAAAACATGTATCAGACATAAAGTTCAGAGTGGAAGTAATGCAACGCAGCTTCAAAACAAACTGGTAATAATGGCTGGTTGCTTTTTAGTTATACAGACGATTTGCATACCACAAATACGGAGGCTAGATCTGCTTCATCGTACGCTTCGTTGGAGTGACCAGTGACAAGCTTGGAACTGAAAAACATGAAAACGTAGCATGAACCAGACGATCCACAGATTATCTCTCCAACAACAGCAGCTGCCGTAAATGGGTTTGACAGACTTTGGCCTCATTGGTTGAATAAAACAGAAGAGGAACTTCAGAGGAAATGCTACTCTGAGACGTAAAAGGAAAGTCAGCTGTTCAGTTAGTCAAGTATGAGGACTCAGGTAACTAGAGTCAGATAAAGTTGTGTTCTGTGAAGTGGTGTCCATGTGAGAAGGCAAAAGGTGGC